AAGTCATTGTGCTATAAAAGTTAGCCCTTCAGTTAAGCTGAAGTTATAAATTACATGGGATAGATCAGAGTAAAACTGTTTCCTATAATTTTTCTAGCTGAAACTGAAATTATACTTCCCACTTTCCAGTAAGGCTGACCCAGTGGATATGGAAACTCAGTTCTCAATGAATACCCTGTTAAACATTTAGATGCAAATTAACCTTCTGATACCTTATGACAGGACTGTCAGCAGATAATATCTGAATATTTTCTATATTTTCAAAATGTGTGGAAAAAGCCTGACAAGAATGAAAGACTTTTGGGGATTAATCACTACAATGATGTCTTCCATTACATATTTTTAATTCACCTTTTCTTACTGATGAAAAATGCTGGAGTGTTTCCAAGTTACTTATATAATCAAAAAGTGGAACGTCTTCACACAAGGTCTTCATTCCATGGAATATTTTCATATTTCAAAATTTATTTATCTTCTTTTTGAGGGCCATAACTGATACCTTCCAAGTTTCCTACAACATGACAATTTCAAATAATTTAATTATGAGTTTTCTTCATTTTCAAAATATTATTTTGTGTTTTAATTGAAGATAAATGTTGTGTTTTTTCATTTGTGTTGCATTCTTATTTTGATACTATTTCATATCTGATTCTCACTTCAAGCATCCCCCTCTTCTGCCTCCTCCCCCCTACTTTATATACTGAGCATGACGTCATATGGTATGGAACATCCCTTTGGTCAGCTGAGGTCACCTGTCCTGGCTGCGTCCTCCCAGCCTCCCATGCACCTCCAACTTCCTTACCAGTGTGGCAGCGTGAAAAGCAGAAGAGACCTTGGCTCTGCATAAACACTACTGAGCAATAAGAAAATCATCTCTGTATTATCCACCCTGTGTTTAGCACAAATCCAAAACTTAGTCCCATATTAACCACTGTGTAGAAAATTAACTCTATCCCAGCTGAAAGCACACTTATTCATATTAATAGATTATAATACTCTAAACTCTATGGAAATACATATTTGCTCAAATATAAGTCTGATAAAATAATGAAAGGACAACTATCAGTTTAATCTTTCCTGTCTCAAATACATTTGAGTTTGTTCTATGAAAAATATGGTAATTAGATAAAACAAAGATATTATTTCTTGTTTGTTATGTTTGTTATTTCTTGCATGTTATAATGAAACGATTTCATTATATCAAACAGGAAAAACTGTATGATGTAGGATACCTAATATATAAAATCATTACTCAGCAGGAGCTGCCATCTATTATTTCTTTTGTTTATTAAAATATATATATGTATAAAAAATGTATTCAGTGACATATTGAGACGTATCACAAAGTAGTATAGGAATACTATAGAATAAATACATAAGTTAACACATATGTAAAGAAAAAGAACCCACAAGATACTATCTGTAATTCTAATGTTAAAATTTAGTAAGCATTTTGTGATTCTCAAAAATATTTTTCAACTGTGACTGTTTTGGTTTTAGTGTATTTTACTATGAAATTCTATGTTATCAACTGTATTGCTTCCCCTTCATCATTCCTCCCCCCAAAGAGCCGCGTATCCTAACAAAGATCTCTGATTAAACTGCGAAAGTGTTGTAACTAATTTTACCTTTCATGAACTCTTCTGAGGGAAATTTTCACTTGGGTCAAAGCATCTTGCATTTGAACTCGATAAATGTGGTATCAAATATTTTCCCTCAACAGAAGACTAAAATATGAGATATAGTCAAAGAGAACACATTTTTACCAGTATCATTTTTACTGGTGCACTGGAACTGAGTTCAGGCAGGTAAGCCTGAACATATTCAAAAAATATGAAGGAGGTAATTAAAACGGTATTAATAGGTAGGTAATACGAACAGATAAAAAAGAAACCCTGAAAACTTTTAAATATAGTTAACTAGTTTATTCTCTGTAGTCAGGATCAAGTTTTTATAACTAACTTTGACTTCAGGTTCCTTAGGTTAATATTAATTTCACCTACCTTTAGAAATCTGAGACTTTTAAAATTAATTAGCTCTTTTGTTTGTTTTCCTTCAACAGTTAATAGAGAGAAAAACAGCTTTTCAAATGGCTCTTTGAGATCTGTTTTCGGAAGAGAGATGTCCCTCCTGAAACTCAAGCTTTTCTGTTTTTGACCATGAAGATGCCTAGCTCAGTTACAGATATCCAGTTGTTAAACATCTAAGTAAGGAAGTTCATTGTCCTTTTTCTCCTACTCTTCTTGTCAGTTGTAACAATTTATCCAGATACTAGAAAATTTAAGTCCTGGAAACTTGTATATGATCTGTACAGATCTATGTGGAAAAGATGTTTAAAAGTAGTAATTTGAGCATGGTGAACAGCCACCCAAAGAAAAATTGCATGTGTACATCCCAGTCATTATTTACATAGTTCATGGATTTCTCGTATGCAGTGAACTGTGACCTTCACTCATTTATCCCTTTTAAAAAACATTGGTATATCAATACACAAATAAATTGACTTATTGAATTACAAATTGTTTTAGTTCTCCACTCTCTAGGTCTAATCTAAAGCTGAAGCAGCAATCACATCAAGTGGCAATTCTGAGAATCTTAACCTTGGTCGTCATGGACTAAATGAAAACTGGTTCCCATCTCATCAAATTTTATTCACAAAAATAAATCTTTCCTCACAAATGATTTGGGTTTTAAAATTGACAGTTTGAGAGGAAAAAAGTCTACTGAAACCATTTTGACCTTTTTAAGTCTGCTTTACTGCATTTACTAGTGTATGTAATACAATTGTATGTCTATTGAGAAGAAGATTATTTTCTAGCTCAATTTCACGAGTTTGTGGTGCACTGTTGGGAGCTCGGTGAACTACCATCAGACCTTCGTGATGCAGTCATCATCACTCTGTATAAGAAGAAAGGTATTAAATCAGATTGCTCAAACTATCGTGGTATTACTCTGCTCTCCATTGCTGGCAAAATCCTGGGAAGAATACTCTTGAACAGACTAATACTCGCTCTTGCAGAAGGAATCCTTCCTGAAAGTCAGTGCGGTTTCAGAGCCAACAGGAGCACCACAGACATGGTATTTGTCCTCAGACAACTGCAAGAGAAGTGTAGGGAACAGAACAAAGGTCTCTATGTAACCTTTGTTGACCTCACCAAGGCTTTTGACACTATGAGCAGAAAAGGTCTGTGGCAGATTTTGGAACGTTTAGGTTGTCCCCCCAAGTTCCTTAAAATGATCATCTCACTCCATGAGGATCAGCACGGCCAAGTCAGATATGGCAACGCACTTTCTGAGCCCTTTTTAATTAAGAATGGTGTGAAACAAGGCTGCGTTCTCGTTCCTACCCTATTCACCGTCTTCTTTAGCACAATGCTCCAAAGGGCCACAGCAGACCTCGATGATCAGGACGGTATCTACATTCGACACCATAATGATGGAAGTCTATTCAATCTAAGGTAACTGAAGGCCCACACCAAGACCTTAAACCATCTTGTCCGGGAGCTGCTCTATGCTGATGACGCTGCCCTTGTTGCCCACACAGAAGCAACCCTGCAGCGTTTAACATCCTGCTTTGCAGATGCTGCTGAGCTCTTTGGGCTGGAAGTCAGCTTAAAGAAGACAGAGGTCCTCCATCAACCTGCACCTCAGGAAGTCCCCCATCATCCCCGAATCACTATTGGCCAATCAGAACTCAAATCAGTCCAACAGTTTAATTACCTTGATAGCCTCATCTCCTCAGATGGTGAGATCGACGGAGAGATGGACAACAGGTTAGCAAAGGCATATAGTGCTTTTGGAAAACTCCACAAAAGAGTATGGCATAATAAACACTTGAAGAAAAGCACCAAGATCAGTGTTTACAAAGCCATAGTGTTGTCTACTCTCTTATATGGTTCCGAATCATGGGTCATCTACCGCCACCACCTGCGTCTCCTAGAACGGTTCCATCAACGTTGCCTCCGTACAATCCTAAACATCCACTGGTCAGATTATGTGACCAATACATCTGTTCTAGAGCAAGCAGCAGTCACAAGTATAGAGGCCATGTTACTGAGAACAGAGCTGCGCTGGGCAGGGTACGTCTCCAGGATGAAGGACCACCGCCTCCCTAAGATCTTGCTTTACGGTGAACTTGCCACTGGCTGCCGCATGAGAGGAGCCCCGAAGAAAAGATACAAGGACTCCCTGAAACAACATCTCAGCCTTGGCCGTATTGATCACCATAACTGGTCTACTCTGGCCTCAAATCGGGAGGCCTGGAGACACACCATCTATAACGCAGCTGTGTCCTTCGAGAACACACACAGGATCACTCTCGAGGAAAAAAGGCAACGCAGAAAGAACCGTGTATTGCAGAATACACCATCTAAGGAGTCTTTCTGCTGTGCCTTTTGCAATCGGATATGTCTGTCACGTATTGGCCTCATAAGCCACCAGCGTGCCTGTAGCAAATGTGGATAGAGCCTTCCCAAATCTTCGTTTGCGAAGCCTAGCCATGAGATGAGATTTTCTAGCTCATTCTGGCACATTAACACTAAATTAGTGGACAGCAAATTCTTTATTTTGCTTTACCTCCTCTTGTATAAACACCCACAATACTCAGTGTACTTTTATTTGTGAGTTCCCAGATGATTTTTTTATACCATAGAAGTTTTGAGGTTTTTACATATCCTCAGGTTATTTTAGTCATCTTTAAAAAAAAACAAAAACAAACACCAAAAATAAAACAAAAACCCAACAATATTTGTTTATCTCTTTGCCTCTACTGGTGTTCAGAAGGAAATTAATATTCATCATTGCACATCAAGGTGTAGGTCAAATACACAAAGGTCTTGAAGATATATTGACACCTTAAGCATTTCACCATTGACTCTGATTTACTTAAAATTTCAGTCCTGAGTAATTGATATATTCACCAAGGGGGATAGATTCTTGCACACACACAAAAAAAAGAAAACCCACCTAAAAACAAACAAACAAACAAACCAACACACAAAAAAAGAAGCAAAAGAGAAAAAGAGTTTATTTCTCATTAATAAGCATTTTCTGAACAAAGAAATCTTGGTGAAACATTTCATATGTTATACAGCTGCTAAGGGAGTCACTTGTTACAGCAGAAGCTCTTTAAAAACATCTCTGTGATTAAGAATCTTCATTTCTGTATGAGAGAGAAGAAATGAAATTGTCATGGTTATTATAGTCCAATTTAAGAATCAGGACCCTTGAAATATTTTGACTTACTGAAGCTTTAGTGAGATCAAAAACCACTGTATCTCGGGCTTGATTGTACTCACAGCATTTTTCTTAGACATGCAGACATGCAGAATAATCACACCAGTTGTACTTAGAATATACTCTGCTTAGAATGAAATCACATTGCATTCTGAGTAAGGCATTTTCTGTATATTCATCAGTTCAGCAATTTAGCATCTGTCTAACAGTTATCTTCCTAGATATAGTTGTGAGAAAACTATGACAATGATTGCCCCAAGAAGAATGATTTCCATTTTCTTTAGTCAGATGTATGGGCTTTTTTTGCAGATTCTAAATACTCACAGATGTCAGAAGTAGGCTTGTCAAACCTTGTTTCAGCAAACCTTTTTGATTTTTTTTCCCTTCACGGAAAGAAGAACTACACTGCATGTGTCTTCAAAGTGACTCTGTAAAGCTGCATGGTGAGTCAATATCCTCCACATCAGGAAATTGTGATAAATTAGGAGGTTTGTGACGTTACGTAGCTAATTTAAAATACAAAGATACAAATGCAAAGCCACATTTTACACTAAGACTTTTTAAAGGTTGATAATGTAGACACTGTTTTGATCAAGAAGGTAGTCTCATGGAAGGACAAGTATACCCTGTAAATTCTGGTATACAAAGAACATGTCCATGACTTAACCACTGTTTTGTCTGTGTACATGTCCATGACTTAACCACTGTTTTGTCTGTGTACTTTCCTGTTTTGTTGCTTGTTCGTATTAAGGATTAATAATCACCAAAAAAAATAATATAAGATGTTTCTATTTATATTCCTTTTTTTCCCACAACACGTTAGTGCTGAGAAATATTCTGCTACCTTTTCCAAAGCTAACATCTGCTCATACTATAATCCACAATTTAATAAGCTTGTTTGAAAAAAAATCTTTAATTTTTTATCAAGGGTTTCCTATTTTTAAGTCCTCTGCATATACCTCTATGGGTGACTATGTAACACAGTGACAATGCTTTTATAACAAGCTAATGCTAAACTTGAGTAAAGGTTATGAGGGACTTGTTTATTTCCCCGAGCAAGCATTGACGTTTGAACTGCAAAAACCAAGCCACACAGATGCTTTTCTATCAATTCAGTGAAAAGTGTATCTAGCACCAGCTTTCTTCACACTGAATATTCTTGGAAGAAATGTTACACATAATGTAACTACATAGAAACAATATTTTGCAAATATTTTCATTGGTTACCTTCTGACCACAGTCAGAAGAAGATACAGTTGTTCCAGAAAACTGTATGTAAAGAAGTGTTTAACTACTGATTTTCACTCAGCAATTTTCTTTAACATCTCAGGTATCATTTATTAAATCAACCACATAGTGAGTTATGGTTGATGTTGGTTTTCCCCCTTCCTCAAGTCAGGTGAGCAGTGCTGTCCCTTAAACTAGCTACTGTGGTATAAATGAAGATTCAGTGTTGAGGTTTCGCTACAGTGCTGCACACAGCCTGAGCACAACCAGATACCATCAACACATTTCACTGGGTATCTGGAAGAAGACTGGCGTTACACACTGCAGCATGCCTTATTGGCTTTTCTAGAGACACTGTTGGCTACAGGTCATCCTTGAACAAACAAGGATTCCAGGAACAGTGAGATCCACTTGTGCTTATTAAAAACCCCAAACCAAACACTTTGGTAATTGGGGTTATCAAATAAATACGAGAATTACTTAAATTCCTGGATAGGTTATTTCTGTGAAGTTACAAAATATTCCAGATAAGTGGGACAGATTTTCTAACTAGTTTGTGTCTGTGAAAAATAATTAAATAAACACGTTTAAAGAAAGTCACAATGAGAGCTCAGTAAGAATTTTAAATTAATGTCTTTCAAATAGTTTCAGAAAAGAGGTCTTAAGCGCTTAACGAAACCTCTGTTAGCACCTTTCTCTGTGCAATTCAGGCTGCACTAAACATGATTTGCCACAGTCAGGACTTCAACCACAAAGACATTGCTCTGAGTAAGAATTAAGGGGTAAACAAATAATGTAGATGTCATTGTGGTTATCTATGGTAGATGCTGGAAAGCAGTGTTGCAGAAAGGGCCATGGGAGTCCTGGTCAATGGCAAGTTGAATACGATTTAGCAGTGCCCTGGCAGCCAGGAGGGCCAACAGTGTCCTGGGGGGCATCAGGCAAAGCATCGCCAGCTGGGGCAGGGCGGTGATTGTCCCACTCTGCTCTGCACTGATGGGGCCTTGCCTTGAATATGCGTGCAGTTTTGGGCACCACAATAAGAAACATATTAAGCTGTTGGAGGGTGCCCAAAGGAGGGCAATGAAGATGGTGAAGGGCCTTGAGGGGAAGCCATATGAGGAGCGGCTGAGGTCTCTTGGCCTGTTCAGCCTGGAGAAGAGGAGACTGAGGGGAGACCTCATTGCAGTTACAACTTCCTCATGAGGGGAGGAGAAGGGGCAGACAGTGATGTCTTCTCTGTGGTGACCAGTGACAGGACCTGAAGTAATGGCCTGAAGTTGTGTCAGGGGAGGTTTAGTTTAGATGTTAGAAAGACATTCTTCATCCGGAGGGTGGTTGGGTGCTGGAACAGGCTCCCCAGGGAAGTGGTCACAGCACCAAGTCTGACAGAATTCAAGGAGTGTTTGGATGATACTCTCAGGCACACGGTGTGACTCTTGGGAATGGTCCTGTGCAGGGCTAAGGGATGGACTCAGTAATCCTTGTGGGTGCCTTCCAAGTTAGCATATTCTGTGATTCTGTAGTTTTAGAAATATAAAACCTGGAATGACCTTTCTTGCTTTTTTGAGGGGAGGAGGACTTGAAGGGAAGAAAGGTTTTATTAATTTTTTTTTTTAAGTTACAACTATTTTATTGCAGATTGTGACAAACTATATGTCAGAGACGTGGAAGAGATTTGAGACCAAATTTTCCCTTGAAATTTACTCAAAGTGAAAATTAATGTATTATTCAAATGCTTCTTAATAAAAAAAGACTTCTAATGGTTTTTGGAGAGCATTAAAATTTTAAGCCTATTTGCAAGAAAAGCGCAGAATGTGCATGGCATTTTTGTGTATTATAAACTTATGGAAGAAAAGAAATAAGGACAAAAAAAAAAGCCTCTTTTGACACTCAGGACCAGACAGTTGATTTAATTTCTACCAAAAGACCTTACATAGTTCCTTGGTGGATAAAGTGTGTATCAGTTACACTAAACAATTGAAACATTAATAATTGAAAAAGATGGTATTACTTGGGTGGGAAATGTAACCACCACTTTCAATACCCTCCTGAAATCTGAGTTGCACCAAGGACTTTAAAAAAACAGGGGATTCTCGGCTCTGATATTATTACAGATAACTCTATCTGTGTGCAAGTGATGTATGGGCAATTTAAAAATCCAGAAATTAAAAATATCTCTTCAATAAATAATTTAAAATTTCATATACTATTCAGAAGCTTTTGTCAAATATGCATCTAATCACTAAATCAGTAAAACAGATGTATGCAAAAATCTTTTTTTGCCTACGTCTGCTGCCTTTTTTTATTAGTCAGAATGATTCTTACAACAAAATCTTTCATGGAAAACGCTAAGGCAGAATGATCATAGGAAGAGATTTACTCTCACCATGAAATCTTATTATCCAAATAAGTCCTATCATGTTATTTCCTGATTACATTATAAACTCACTGATACATAGGTTACTCTGCTTCCAGTGTTTTTTTCAGGTTGCAAAGTAAGATAACAAAGCTGTTGGGTGTTTCTTGAGTTTTTCTTTCTAGGAATAAGGGGGAAACTCAAACCAGTGATGCCATATTATTTTATAATGCCATATTATTATAAAGTAAAAAAACCCATAGTTTATCAAACAGAATTAAGCAATGGTCAAGTTTGGAAATTTAACAGTGTGATCTCTAAGATGTTGGCTGTTACTCCTTATAAAACCAATATATAGTTACTAATGTCTAAAGGAATGCTTTGCACATTAACGTTCAGTTCTGGAAGATGAGAAATCTAATGCTGGTATCTTCTTACAGCAGTACATGAGCTGAAGTTTTTGGTAAAAGGGATTGGGGCAACAGGCTCTAGGTGGCCCTGTTTGAGCAAAGGGCTACCTGCAGATGAGTCTTCCAAACTCAACCACTCTGCCATTATGTGAACAGTTTTATTTTAGAGACCAGGATGAATTCAGTAGTGGAAGTGTCTGTCTTCTTCATTTTCCTCTCTTTTTCTACCTTGCTTGGCAACTATTTATGAACCATCACCTTCTTCCCTACCTTCCCTCCTTGATGGGTTGCTTATTGCCAGGCCCTTGTGCACAGGGCGCAAATTTTTCATCACAGAAAAAATAAGTCAGAGGTGAAAACCCACCTGCAAGGCAACAAGAAGATACCAAACATCTTGCAAAACAACCTATCCCCCTTTGGGCATCTATCTTCCTGGCTGGGTGGCCAGTGTGGGAAACCCTTCCCTCCCCTTTCCCACAGTTTGTTCCCATCTGTCCAGTTGCAAGGACCTTTGGGTCCTGCACAGGGGTTGTCTGGAGCAGCCCCTGTCTGTTTTCATCTGGTCCAGCAACAGGGGGGAATGGTGGACAGTAAGCTGAACGTGAGCCAGAACTGTGCCCCACCATTTAGCAGAGCAGTCCAAGGGTACGCTGGGTTGCATGAGTAAGGGACTTGTCAGTAAGACTCGAAAAGCTACTTGGAACTGAATCTATCAAGGAATGCCACAGGCAACAAGAACTTCTCTAAACATCTAAGTGGCAAGGAGAAGACTAGGAAAATTACGAGCTCATTGCTGAATAGGTAAGGAGATGTGTTACCTTTGCTTCAGTGATAAGCTGGAGCTGAAAACTAGTCTGCCGCGCCACAAGAAGATACCAAAACATCTCCCCAAAAGGCTTTCTCCCTTTAGGGTACCTCCCTTTAGGATGGCCAACAATGAGTGGCTCCTTGGAACCCAGTGACTTCACGGAATGTGACTGTGACATCACCCCAACCTTCCTGCTTTTCAGCAGCCAAAAGTTCTATCCCTTGGCGCTCTGTCCAGAACTTTTGTGGGCACACGCACATGGCGAGCAGGATCCAGGAGGATCGCGGTCTCGCTCTTTAAGCTTTGGCTTGGTAGAGAGCAGCAGCTCCAGGCACTGAGAAAAGGCAGCCTCTTCTAAGCTCCTCTCCCGTCTGCCCGGTTGTGAGGACCCGTGGGTCCCACGCAGGAGCTGTCCTGGGGCTGTGAGAGCCAGGAGGGTGCTGGGGCCATCCAGCACTGAAGGCTCTCAGCAAGTTTCCCTGCTCCGTCACTGTGTCCTTCAGGTACCTTGTGCTAAACTAGGTCGTGTCTGGGAGACATTGTTGGGGGTTCTGGTGTCTTGGGCACAGCAGCTCTTTCCCCAGGGCCTCCTGACACCTCACCAGAGCCTGCCCCAGGGCACTCACCCATCTGGCTTGAGCCCTGGGGAGGTGTGGAGGAGACTGGGGCTTCCCCTCCTGCTATCCCTCCTTCCCTGCCTCCCTCCCTGCCTCCCTCCATGGAGCAGACCTCCACAGCATCTACCCAACACCCTTCCAAGTCCCAGTAAGAACCTTTCCAACCTAGAGCCCTTGCCCAGGGCCCTTTGCCCAAGCCTGCTCTTCCCTGGAGGCACAGGCAGGAGGTTTCCCCAGTACCTCAACATCCAGTGGGGGCTGCTTGCCTGGGAGAAATAAGGGTGGAAGGTAGAGTTGCAGGGCTGCCTTTGGGTCTGGCTGGCCCACATGCTGCTGCTGTTGCTGCTGCTGCTTCGAAGCACCCAGAAGGTGACCCCTTTGGGATAGTCACCCTTCCCAACCCACAGTTTGCTTGGGCCTTCCTTGTTTTTCCCCTTCAAGCACCAAGAAGGCCAGGTATCCAGGCACTTTGCATGTCTCTCTGGGCAGGGCCAGGTGTGGGGCACTGCAGAAGCCCTGGAGAAGAGACTCTGCTACCAGGACCAGCATGAGCCAGCTGCCACCAGTAGGGCCATCAGAGGTGGCAGCAGCAGATGGCAGATGCCCCATCTGCCTGGGTGACCTTGAAAATGCCACCTATGTGGAGGTCTGTCAGCATTGTTTTTGCTTCATCTGCATCCGAGAATGGGCCAAACTGACAGAGACCTGCCCACTCTGCAAGCAGCCTTTCGAGCGACTAATGCACACCGTGACAGTGGATGGCAACTATGAGGAATATGTGTTTGGTCAGTCTGCCCACCCCAAAGGAAAGCAACCAGGATCCGGAGCAGATCCCCACAGTGGCACTACAACCTGTGTCACAGGTCCACTGACAGCAAGCCCTCCAAGAGCCGGAGCAGATCCCCCCAGCAGCATGACAACCCACATCGCAGACCCCTGACACCCAACCCTTCACAGGGAGGAGGGGGAATATAGGAACTGAGTACAGGGGGATCCAGTAGCTGTGGGGCCCTCCAGCGCAACTTCCTAGCAGGCTTCCGCAACCAGCACTTCTCATGAGGGAACACCACTGAGCCCAGAGGAGCGCCTGACCCCTGTGGCAGCCTGACCTCTTTCATCTGCAATAAACAGCCAGGTGCTTTCAATTTAAAGATGTGTATGATGATTTCCATCATTAACTGCTGCAACATAAGGTGATTCTCTCCTGCTTTCCTCACTTCCCGCTTCCAAGCACCAATGTAGGGGTGTCCAACGCCTTTGACCAGCAGCTGGTCCTGCTAGTGCCTCTGCACCCAAATGTTTCTGGCCATTCTTTAGGCACTACTCTCAGTCTATCTCTGACAGCAGCAGCTGGCCCAATTCCCCATGGCTGTGGTTGGCAGGCAGGAGAGAGCTTGTTGTGCTCTTATGGCTAAATGCTCTCTAGGTCACAAAACCCATTCCAGCGGAATGAGGACTTTTGGTGATCCACACACCTTGGCTTGATCTCGCTCAGGAGAGCAAAGCTCTGAATCTCAAGCATCATGGGTTTTCAGGAACCATCCAGAAGTAAACTGACTTGCAAGCAAAGCAGTTTTTCCACAGACAAAATTCTGGAGAAATGAACATTTCAGGAGCTGTGTTGGAGAGCCTGTATTGAAGAGAAAGCCTGGACAGCCTATTTCCAACCAGAAGTTAGGGGTAAATACACAAGAAGTAGCTTTGGCTACTCTCACCACCATGAGCAGTCACAGACCAGATGCAGCGGTGCATCCCTCTGTGTCCAGGGAAAGCACAAAAGAACTCTGAGGAGGAGTACTGGAGATGGATTGCCTATGGAAAGGTACCAAGGTCTAGGCCCAGAGGAAGTCTCTGCAGCAGGACTCCAACTTGCACGTTGAGAATACAGTGTCAGGTTCTCAACAGAAGTGCATGGCAGAAGGATGAGAGGCATCAGGCCTCACCTGAAACAAGGGAAGTTCACACTGGAGAGAAAGGGCAACCTTCTTCCCTATGGGGACTTTCCAGTGTGGAAAGCCTAGAGAGGCTGTACTGTCTGCATCCTTGGGGCTTTTCAAGACCAGGCTGGGGAAAGCCTTCAACTGAATCATCATGCCTTCTGGCTGATGCTGCTTTGAGCAGGGGGCTTCACTGGGGACCTCCTGGCATCCTTTCCAATCTGAATTTTACCATGAGCCTATGATTTTCCTTTTTCCATGCTGCTTCCTTCCACATCCAGACGGAGCCAGATGGAGATATTTAAAAAATATTTATTTAACCCACAATGTAAAATACAGAAAAATGGATGTAGTGGTTCAAATCAATGTACTTCTAGCCAAGACTTCATTTTCAACAGTGTTAACTATTAATTCACGATAATAAAAATGAGTATGATATTTAGCCCTCAAATTTTCCAGGCTTCTATTATTGTCTGCTGTAGAGACTTTTTAAGCATGATATAATTTGTTACTTAATAACTCCACAATAGGTCCCTCTGAAAAATATTTTTCTGCATTCCTCTCATAAAAATTCTGGCAACCATAATGTAATTCATTTGAAGAAAAGCCTTCCTCAGTTTGTTTGAATCTGCCCCAAACTATATTTTTGATGGTCTCATTTCTATATCAAAATATGTTTTTATAAACTGATTCTTATACTTGATCTCCAACCACTCATGTCCTGCCCTAATGCTTACTGAATGTATTTACTCTAGATGTATTTATTTGAACATACAACTAGCAAAGAACTGTACATTTCATTTTCAGGAGTGGCTGAGGGAGCTGGGGTTGTTTATCCTGGAGAAAAGGAGGCTCGGGGGAGAGTTTATCTCTACAAATACCTGACAGGAGGTTTTAGCAAGGTGGAGGTTGGTCTTTTCTCCCAGGAAACTAGTGACAGGATGAGAGGACATGGCCACAACCTGCTCCAGGGGAGGTTCAGGTTGGATATCAGAAAGAATTTCCTCATGGAAAGGGTTGTTAAACACTGGAATTGACTTCAGGGGAGGTGGTGGAGTCACCAACCCTGGAGATGTTCAAGATACAACCGGACATGGCACTTAATGCTGTGGTCTATTTGGCATGGAGGTGATTGGTCAAAGGTTGTACTTGATGATCTTAGAGGTCTTTTCCAACATAAATGATTCCATGATTCTGTGATTTTCACCAATTAGCAACAGACAGAAATAAGAAAAAAAACCCAAAACATGTTTTCTTTTTACCAAAAGAAAGGTGATGATTATAGGAATATTACTGAATATTTCATCATTTTACTGTCTACTTACTGTAGAGTCTGCCAGAGAGTAACAGGAAAGACATACTCTTTCTTGAAAAAGTCATGTGTTTTATGAAGCACAGATTTGAGAGCATCAGACCTGCAAACATGAAGAAATTATACTAAATACATTTCTTACTTTTATCAGTAAAAAATGTTGTACTAGAGTGTACAGTTTTGATGGTGTTACTGCCGATTCAAACTTCAGTCGTGGTTTATACTTTTTTTGTTATCAATTGTAGAGTGATGGATACAATAGCCTAGATATTTCACTGTCATTTTCAAGTTGTGTTAACACATCTCAGTCTCCAAGTTTACTGACTAACACATAGTTGGAAGTGGATTTGATCAAACATACCATTGAAGAAAGTCACATCTCATTTCTCATATAAGAAATCTCTTACCAAAGAGTAATTTTGCCAAAATCTTTAGCAAGTAAGTGTTAAGGCTTACAAAAGAAAAGCCCACCACTGGTTTGCACTGTTAGAGCTGAGACTATAGGAGCTTATTATTCAGTGAGGATATTTTTAAACATTTTTTCTAACAATTTTAGCATTTTGTTTGGATTATAATTTGAAAAAAATCAAAATGAACAAACAAAACCCGGCCTAAACAAAAATTATGCTTTCAAAACAACATTAATCTGGAAATGGGTTGCATTTGATTCTTTTTGTGGCTATAGAAACAAAGAGGAAAAATGAATTTTAATTACACTCAAATATTTGTACTTGAACCCACACATAAGACAGTCGACTCCCAGTGGTACAATTAGCATATTATGATAATGTACTATGTCTCTTGATAAGACTGTTTAAATGACTGTCCTTTACAGAAATGATCATGAAGAGTACTGGCATTTTTGTGTACAGATCTCTCAATATGCAACAGGTTGACTAACAGTTCAAATGCTGTTATCAGTTATATGAGAAAACCTGTAGTGACCCTATTTCTCACTTTTTCATTTTTTATTTCATTTAGAAAATAAAACAAAATCTTTCACTCTAAGAAAAATCAAGCTAGATTATATAAATCTGTTATTAGAATCATAGAATAGCCCAAGTTGGAAGACTCCTGGAAATATCTGCTCCAACCTTTTGTGGTAAAGGGAGACTAGCTGAGTTTTTCTAGAACCCTGTCCAATTTCATCTGATTGTTCTTACTCAAAAGAGCCTCTCTCAGCACAACCTGTGTTCTTTGCATTTGCCTTCTCTGGATGGCTCCTCATGAAGAGAGAACCTCCTCTTTGTGACTGCCCTTTAAGTACTGGAATACTGTGATGACCTCACCCACAAACCTTCTCTTCTCCAGTGACAAGAGAGATGTAAGTCCTTCAGTCTTTCCTCATAGATCAGGTTCTCCAGTGCTTGGATCATCTTTGTGACTCTCCTTTGGACACTCTCCAGTCTGTTTGCATCTTCCTGTAATTGTGAAAACCAGAACTGAACACAGTACTGCAGGCGAGGCCTGACAAGGGCTGAGTGGAGAGGAAAGATCACAACTTTACCTCTACTAGTTGTACCCCTGTGAATGCAGCCTGGGACATGATTTGTCCATCTGGCTCATCCATGTTAGCCTCCAAAAATCCACAAAATGGCAATCAACTAATCATTTGCTTCTGTTTATCTGATGTCAGAAAGAGTTATCAATTTTAGCCCAGCTATATTTCTTACTATGCTAACTTATATCACTTTTGTTTATCTGAGACACTCAAATTATAAATAAATCATTTGATAAATAAACAATAAATAAAGAGTTCCGTCATTATGCTAGAAGGTCTAGAGAGCTCTTCTGTATTATGATTACTCTTACTATACTAAACCTGGCTAGAATAGCTGTGACTAAACGAAATTTATAGAAGCCAAAATGTTTCCTGAGAGGCATATTGGTTTCAATGAATTTTTCAAAGGAAAGTTTTCTGCAGTCCAGAGCTCCCTGGTCACCTTTAATGAGAAAGAGAGAGGAAAAAGAGATGAATTAAATCCCTCAGGTACTATATTGAAAAAAATCAATTTTTGACAGAATTCCATTGTCAAAGGAACACTTGTGGCCATTCCAATGTGAAATAGAAACAAAGTTTGAGGTTTTGAAAATTCTTTTTCTGCCAAGTTCTTTACGACATGTGATGATTCTTACTCAGAACTATAATTTCCAGAATATTATATCAGTGCATGGTTCAGTGAAACCAGGTTCTTATGCTTGTCTCAAGACACAAAGAATTATCTATATTTTGATACTTGTAACCAAAACTATAAAAAACCTGAAAGTGAGTACAGAAAACAAACTATAAATTTCATATTACAGGTTATGTGTATACTGTCTGTTGACAAGGAAAACAGTATAATAATCCTCAGCAGATGCTCCACTCTGGGGTTCACTTCAAGCTCTAATGCAAAAATGAAGGCAAAGTTTCACAGGTCAAGATTTAAAAATTATATTGTTGTAAGAGATAACTTTGTCTGGGAAATGGCAGTAATGGGAATAATGAATAAAAATTGTGAGAAATTCTTTGTGGTTCTTTCCTAGCAGGCGAATGGAACTTGATTGAGTCTTGTGGCACTACTGCACAGACTTGCTACCACACCCTCATGGAACTGTGTCAGAGTTCTCCTCCAGTGTGGGGGGTGCAGTAGGATCTGCAGGGAGTCAGGGGCTGGCACAGCTGGCATGAGCAATCCTGCAGCCAGGCACTACTCTCAAGGACCATTCTTTGAATTAAAATTGGTTTGATGTGAGTATGGGGACTGAGGAGGAGGACTAGCTCTAAGCAAAATGCATACTCGCAGTGTAGCTCAACTTTGTGTAAGACAATAAAAAATTAAAGAAAAACAAAAACAATGCGAAAACTTATTATAGTGTAATTATGCTAATGCAAAACTTCAAAGACCTGTTTGTAAGTTTA